TCCCGCCAAGGCTCCAGACTCTTATGTAACTGTAGTAACAGCAAGGACGATTGCAAACACTAATAATTTAAGTAGCCAGCCCTTGCCTAGTGCTTAGTACATGCCTGCTATTGTGCTAAATGAGCCATTTCCATGTATTATCTCATTTAATCCTCTGAGTGAGACTTAGATGGGGAAATGGAGGCACACAGCCTAGAAATGACTTGGTTGGGGTTCTGCCCCCACTCACTCTTCTGGGCTCACCCACTTCCGAATCCTTCCCCCCTCCCAACTCCACACCTCATTCCCAGCTCCACTGCTCTGTTGCTGGATCTGTCTCTGGGGGTCCTGACTCCCCAGTTAGCCTGCGAACTGGGGACAGCACCTGAGGCTTCCTTCCCTTCCAAGCTTTGCACAGGACAGACATACAGTAGGTGCTTCATATATGCCCGCTGGCTGGTCGAAGGGGGCCTGTTCTAGGGCTGGGTTGCCTGAGCAATGACACGTGAGTCAGACCTCAGGAAAGTATGCAGTGAGCACTCCATAAGTGCATGTGCAATGATGCTGGCATTCTCCAGCCCCAGCCCTGTGGAGGTCTCACAAGCCTGAAGAAGGGCCAGCCCCCACCCCCTGGCCTCCCTCCCACGTGCCTGGGCTGTGGCTGTCCTGTGGCAGCTGGCGTGGGCCCTCCTGCACTCCCGCAGGCCCCGTATCTAATCAACCCAGGGACCAAAGTTGAGAGCCTGAGTCATCAGCTGCCCAGGGTGCCCTGATCTCTGGCCACAGGGAGTGGCTGGGTTTGGTGGCGACTAGTGGCCCATCACTCATCCCTTCCAGTTCAGCCTCACCCCATCAGTGACTGTGGGTCCCCAGGGGTCAGGGAAGCAGGATGAGGCAGAGCAAGCTGGTGGGGAGGGAGACCCAAGCTCTGGCCATTTCTGCACCACCTCTGTGCTCCTGGCCTCCCTGCGCTTCTATAAATGGAGGTGTTCAGAGAAGGAAGCATGACACATAAGAGTGCTGAGCCTGGGCCCGGAAAAGAAGGCTAGGGCCACCCCAGCCTGGCCCCCATGGCGTGGAGCCTGGGGGACCTCGGCGTGGGCAGTCCTGGGCGGGCGCAGGGCACAGGTGCCAGAGTCCCTGGGTTAATTGTTACACCAGGTCCAGAGTCTGCCCTCCTGGAGGGAGGGGGATGCCAACCAGGTAGGCGAAGGGAGGGCCTGCCCCTGCCCCGGACCCACCTGCGCCTTATCAGGGGCTGGGCAGGGCCTCGCCCAGCCAAAGAGGACCGGGCTCGTCCGGACTGCACACTCCCGCTGCCGGCTCCTCCACGCCATGGAGGCCCTGAAGACCCTTCTGGTGATCAGCGCCCTGCTCCTCTCGCCCGCTGAAGCCCAGCAGGGTAGGGGGGCCCCCCACGGGGGCGGTGGGTGGGGAGGGGTCGTGGGGACGAGCCCACCTCCCCAGGCTGGGTCCCTAGCACCTTTCCCTTCTCGGACACCCAGCCCCCATCTGACTAAGCAACCCGGACTGCCTTCTCCCCTTCCCCTTTGGTGGGGCCCTACACTCCCCATCTCTGAGTCCCACCTCCCCCCACCTTCCAACAGCCACCGAGCATCGCCTGCAGCCGTGGCTGCAGGGCCTGGCGGCCGTTGTGGGGTTCCTGTTCATAGTGTTCGTCCTCTTGCTCGTCAACCGCATCTGGTGTACCAAAAGGAGGTGGGAGCATCTGTCCCCCACACCCCACACCCCCACACCCTACACCCCCACGCCCCCACGCCCCTGGAGCCGCCTGTTCCTTCGCCCTTCACCACCCCCCCCTCAAAGTGCTGGGCACCCCCTCCCACTTCTTACCCTCTCTGGTAAGAAGAGAAGGCCCCTATCTCTCCATTTCCCTGTTATTCCTTAGACTCCCATCCCACAGACCAGAATAGCCGTGCAACCCACCCCCCTTGCTTCCTGGAGTTCATGAACCCCAACCCTGAGAAGACTGGGGTGAGGCTATCCCCACTTCCCATCCTTTACTCCCTGTCTCCATCTCTCCTAAAGAGCTGATGACAATGAATCCATGTTCATAATGGAGACCAGCCCGTACCAGAACACAGACCTGAGGTACTGCCTGTGTGTAGATGTGTGAGTGGGGGAGTCAGGGGGTCTGTGTGAGCCCCCTTCTTGGGGAAATGGGTGTGTACAAATGACCTTTTGTCCTTGAGCACCTCAAGCACATTCCTGCCCCAGGGCCTTTGCACTTACCGTGCACTCTAATTGGGACCTCTTTCCCTATAGCATCTGGCTGGCTCCTCCTCAGTCCCTGCTCAGATGTTTTCTCCTCACAGCAGCCCATCCTGACCACCAGCTTTCCTGACACTGTGCCCCACAGCCATGGGGCCAGGACTAGGGGGCAAAGGCTTGGGGCGGGAGGGCAGGACCCGAGAGGAGACCAGCCTGGCCCAAGATGTGCCATCCACCCACCTTCCCATCCACCCACCCATCCACCCACCCATCCATCCTCCCACCTCCCACCTGTTCCTCCATGGGATAATGGAGCTTTAGTTTCTGCCTTTGTAAAGTGGAAATAACAAAGTTGCCTCATTAGGTTTTATTCTGAGGATTTAATGAAGACACTTTCTGTAAAACGCTCATCACAAGGTCTGGCACAGGTAAATTTCCATTAAATAGGAGTGATTGTTTCTTATTGTGGTCTGGGGCCTTTGTGTCTCTATAGTAAAGAAGGCAAGAGAGAGAAGGAGAAAAGGGCCAAGAAGGAAGGAGAGAGCAACTTGGGGCTGGAACTGGAGGAGTCCCAACACCAGGCGAAAGCCACGATCACCCCCATGTGAAGATTTCCTGCCCACCTCCTCCAGGCAGGCCCCCGGGGATGCCTCTGTAACAGGTGACCTGGACCTGAAACGACTGAAATAACTACAGGAATACAGACCCCGAATGAAGAGGCTTGGGACCTGCCTCCCCCCACCCCCAAGAGGGCTCTTTGCCCCTCCCATGGTCTCTATGCACCTCCTTTCCGATTTGTCCTGTGTGGTGATTCTTACTGACGCGTGATGAAGAAATCCCCTACCTCCCACAACCTCGTGGCTCCCCGCTCCCACCCACTGTCTGGTTTCTTTTCCCTCTGCCGGATAGTTCTTGGTTAGAACCTCCTCCCTCAGGATCAATATGGGCCAGGACTGTCTCTTGGGAACCTGCATTAAATAATTGATCAGAGCCCAGCCAGTGTGGCTCCGTGGTTGAACGTCGACCTATGAACCGAGAGGTCGGGGTTCAATTCCCAGTCAGGGCACATGCCCAGGTTGTGGGCTTGATCCCCAGTGGGGGGTGTATAGGAGGCAGCCAATCAATGCTTCTCTCTCATCACTGATGTTTCTATCTCTTTCTCTTCTCTCTCCCTCCCTCTCCCTTCTTCTCTGAAATAAATAAAAATATATTTTAAAAAAGAGAATTGATCAGAGCTGCCTAGCCAGTGTGGGTCTATGGGTGGAGCGTTGCCGATGTACCAAGAGGTCCCATGCCCAAGCTGCAGACTCCATCCCCAGTGGGGGGTATGAGGTAGCCCACTGATGTTTCTCTCTCACATCACATTGATGTTTCTGTCTCTCTCTTCCTTTCCCTTCCCCTCTCTCTAAAAAATAAATAAAAACATATTTTAGCCCTAACTGGTTTGGCTCAGTGGATAGAGCGTCGGCCTGCGGACTGAAGGGTTCTGGGTTTGATTCTGGTCAAGGGCATGTACCTTGGTTGCGGGCACATCCCCAGTAGGGGGTGTGCAGGAGGCAGCTGATCGATGTTTCTCTCTCATCGATGTTTCCAACTCTCTATTCCTCTCCCTTCCTCTCTATGTAAAAAGTCAATAAAATATATTTAAAAAAATATTTAAAAAAAGAAAAGAATTGATTTGCCCTGGCCCATTTGGCTCAGTGGATAGAGCATCGGCCTGTGGACTGAAGGGTCCTGGGTTTGATCCTGGTCAAGGGCACATACCTCAGTTGCAGGCTCGATCCCAGTCCCTGGTCTGGGTGCATGGGAGAGCAATCAATTGTGTCTCTTTCACATCGATGTTTCTCTCTCTGTCTCTCCCTCTCCCTTCCACTCTCTCTAAAAAATCAATGGAAAAATATCCTCAGGTGAAGATTAACAACAACAACAACAAATCGATCAGAGCCTTTCAGAAGGGCTTCTGTTGGGACTATTTCTCTGGGAGAGGCAGCTTTTGGTTTGGGGCAATGCCCAGGCAGGCATGGAAGGAAGACCAGGCTGCACAGATGCCCCGGGCAGAGGAAATGCTTCCCCTGCAATCTTGATTTTGCTGCCCTGAGCCCGGGACTTTGAGCCCCTAGGGCTGTCTCCGGGGAAAGTCCTGCTTCCCCCTCCCCCATGTTTGGGCCACTCTGTAACCTGTTTCTGAGAAGTGGGTCTTGGAGGACGGCCTCAGGGCCCTGCATTTTCTTGGGATAGAAAAGCATTTCTCCTCCCAGTTTCCAGCCTTCCCCTTCTCCTCACTTTCTCTGGGCCCTGGACCTTGCCCTGGGCATTAGCTATGTCTCAGTCAAATATTCTTAATGAGGATCTTGACACAGTACGGCATTTGGAGCGCCGTTCTGGGCCCATAGCTGGGGGTGGTAGGATTCCACCCGAAAGGCTTCTAAGATGCTTCCCGGATCCCCACCAGGTGGGCAGGAAAACCATGAAGAAACGAACGGAACAGACACCCTAATAGATGCTCCCACGGAACACCTGGCATCTTTATTCTCTCTCAGTCTCCATCGGTACCTAATTAGCCCCATTTCCCAGGTGAAAATACTGAGGCTTAGACAGAGGGGCAGGGCTCCCTGGCTGTTGTTGACAGAGCCATGATGGAAGTACAGGCTGCCCCAAATATGGGAGCTGGCAGGCTGTGGGTAAGGCGAAATTTGGAGGTTCAGGTGCTGGGATGGTGGTGGTGGGGTTGGGAGTGGGGGTATCCTTTTCTTGCTGTGGTTCCCACCTGGGAGAACTGTGTCCCTCTGGGGTGCTGTTGGCCCTGGGGGAGGTGACCTGACTGCTCTGAGTCTCAAGTCGGCTCTCTTTTTGTTTGTTTTGTTATTAATCCTCTCCAGGGGGTATTTTTCCATTGATTTTTAGAGCGAGTGGAAGGGAGGAGGGAGACAGAGAGAGAGAGAAACATGGATGTGAGAGAGATACATTGATTGGTTGCCTCCCGCACGAGCCCTAACCAGCCTGCAACCGAGGTACATGCCCTTGTCCAGAACTGAACCCAGGACCTTCCAGTCCACGGGCCAATGCTCTACCCACTGAGCCATACCGGCTAGGCTCACGTTGGCTCTTTTGCAACGTGAAAACAAGAGTTCTGACCATCAGTCTGACCATCAGGTTTGAAGGGACCATCGGGGCTTAAGGGCCGTTGCAAGGCCTGGCACATAGTAGGTTCTCAGGAGATGAGTTCCCCACCTTTCCTGAGCCTCCCCCTCCCATGGCTCTGACGGTGGGGAGTGAGGGGGTCAGGGTGAACCTCAGGGAGACAGGGTGCTGGGATGCTTGGGCCCCTGGGCCCCTCCCCAGGGGACCTGGAACCCAAGGAAAGGGGCCCCACCTCCCACTTCCTGTGGCACTGGCCACACCCTCCTCCAGCCAGGGCTGCACCCCAGGATCCGCTGGACAGGAGTGAGGACAGACAGACCAGGATGGACAGATTCTGGATGACACCACCCCCACCCCCGTGCCCCGCCCCCGCGACCCTCCCTTCAGGCAGCTCTGGTCCCGAGGCAGATTCAGGTCTTGGGGGACAGGGAGGGGGCAGAAGAGGAGAACCCCAACCTGGCGGCCAGGCTGCTGACCTGCGCTGGTCCCGCCCGCAGTGGCCTAGAGGAAGCCGTGGCTGATGGGCCGCCGCTGCACTGGCCTTTTCGTCCTCATCGTCGTCCTCACTGGGGTCCGCGCCATTCATTTGGTGCAGCCAACCTCACGACAGGCAGGCCCCATCCTCTCCAAGCCCCGCCCTCCACAGCCCTCTCTCCCCTTTGCCTCCTCACAGGAGGCAGGAGAGGGTCTCAGGGGTAATTAATTCTTTGATTCAGAATCCATGGGGGCCTCACGTAACCTCGCTGACTTCCCTCCTGACTACCTACCTGCCAAACAAGGTGGCTTCGTCACCGAGAGCCCAGCCCTGCGTGTACTTCAGATGGGATCTGTGAGGCCTGTCACCGCCCCTCTCACCCCATTCATTTACGCATCCACCGATTCTCATCCACGTACCCATCCATCTATCCATCCACTTCTCCCACCCTCTCTCCTTCCAGCCATTATCCTTCCTTCCTTCCTTCCTTCCTTCCTTCCTTCCTTCCTTCCTTCCTTCCTTCCTTCCTTCCTTCCTTCCTTCCTTCCTTCCTCCCTCCCTCCCTCCTTCCCTCCCTTCCTTCCTCCCTTTATCATTCATTCCTGTCTGTCCATCTCTGTGTGGATGTGTGTGCCCAAACATCCACCACCCACCATCCATCGACCATCCATCCATCATTCATCCATTCACCACTCACCCGTCCATGTACCTTTCCACTGTCCACACGCCCATCTGTTCACCAACCACTCATGGACTCATTTCCGTATGCACATAAACCGGGAATCCAACATGTCTCTGCCATCCACTCCGCCAGGTTAGAGATCAAGGAAAGAGAGGGAAAGATTTGGGCTCATGTAGCTCCCGGCTGGATCCAGCAATTCCTTTCTTAAAGAAATGGGGAAAGTACCCGCCTGCCTGAGACTGGGGTCCCCTCTGGAAATGGACAACCCAGGGGGAAGAAAACAGATCAGGGAAAAATTTGAAACCTGGGACAAGCGAGTGGCTCATAAAAACTGGGGCTATTTGGGGGCCCCTCTTCAGCCTCCCCAGCGAAAAAAAAAAAAAGAAAAAAAAGAGCGGTGAGGGGGGAGGAAAAAGAGAAGAGTAGCGCCCACCAGAGGAAG